ATATTTATGTCTGTGCTAGACCTACTGAGGTGGTTTTCATAGTCTCAGAGCAAGCACCAATACCTTCAGTTGTCTGACTCTCCAGTGTTCTTCTCTGCCTTGTAATTTTACTTCATTCCAAATGGGTTTCTGACTACTATTTTCTCTATACAAAATCAGATTATCTCGGCTGTAATTATGGTTTTTTTTCGAAGATCTAACAACTTTACTTTTAAGGAGTGGCTGGTTTCCCCTTTGTATTATTTGTTATAACCACAAGAGATGGAATACGTACATACATAAGCAGGAATGTCTCCCTAAGGTTGAGCTGCTTCTGAATATTGAATTTCTACCCCCTCCCCTTTTTTATAGGCCCTTGATGTAAGGGAAGCAAGCCATAAAAGTTTTCCTATCCCTTCTCTTCAACCTTCTGTTTTGCAGATACTGATGTTTTCAGAGCAGTCATTATTCTGAATTATTCATTTTATTATCAATTATTATTGATTCATTTTATTATCACAAATCAATACATTAACCCAGTCTATTTTCCCCATAGGAAAATCCAGAAATTAGAACTTGGAGCTTGAAACTCAATATTTTTATTATCAGCCAGCTGCTGCTGCTGTTATGTTTGATCTTTCACTATTGCTTCTCTTTTCTTACTGCTGCAGCTGAAGCCTTGCTGTGAAGCTTGGCTCTCTCTACATTATCTCTTTATTAATGGCTCCCCATAGAGTATTTCTATGCTAGGCCTACTGACGAAGCTATCCTATCTTAACATATGTACAGGTTGGATTTTGTTATACACCTGTCTTGAATTCATTTTTTTTTTTTTACGCAAGGTGTTAGTACATTCAGAAAAAACAGATTTTTAATTTTTTTCTTTCATTGTGAACTGATTAAAAGTTTTAGTAAGTTAATAAGCAGTGTTTGTGTAACTTCCTGATGAGGCTAATCTTATTTTTTTGTTATAATAATTAATGCACCCAATTTCAAATGGGTTGGAACAGACCTAATAGGATGGTAATCAATTTTTTTTTTTTACAATAATGTAAAATAGAGGACTTTTAATAAAGTCCAAGTGAAACACAACAAAGGAGAATATGAAAGTGTGTACAAGACAAAAGAGAAAGAATGGTCAAATATTGATGGAAGTAACATAAAATAATACATAAACACAAGATTGTTTTCAAAGCAACTGAATAGAAATGCATAAAAGAAATTTTAAATTTTCTTAAAAAAAAAAAAAAAAAAAAAAAAAAAAAAAAGTGTGCGTCTATATACTTACTGTTGATGCCAACATGCTTCCTCCAAACCAGACTGCATAACGTTGCATGTGATGAGTGATTACTTGACATTCAATAGGCTTTGGCTAAAAAAGCATAAAAATGACATTTAGAATTGTTGACATGTAAAAATGAAGTCAGAAAATCATGAACAAAATTTAAAAAAAACAACAAAAAACAGGTTTTCCTTTTTTACAAATTGAAAATTTAATCAGGGGGGTTAATAGCCCTCATTAGTATTGCTTAAATTTAACCTTTGCACTCATTTATACACAAATGCTAATACTAAAATAACTGTAAATACATAAAAGTTTTGTAAAAGAATAAATGCAGTCAAAGTCGGTTGTACTCACATACAGCCTCAGTTAGACTGTCTTTTGGGCATTTTTTTTTTTTTTTTTTTCAAATGGATCCAGTGTTCAGCTGTGCAAATTACCTTGCAAGAGAGCATCGCTCTAAGTAGAGACTTTGCTGGAAGTTTCTCAATGATGGCGATGAATATTGTTGCAATTCTGCATGCAAACAGATCTTTTGTTGAACATTTCCTTTTTGGATAAATTTTGCAAAGCCCTATCTGCCAAAACTCCACACTTGATATTTGCAGCATCTTTATGCATGTTTGGGTTTGACAAAATTCTTACAAATTCTTTCACTTTGGAAAATGTAATTATCTTGTTAATGTGCTATTCCTTTACAAATCTTAACATTTTCATGATCATACAGGACCATTCACAATTTCACTAAAAAAGAGCATAGCATAATGAAAAAGACCCCCAAACTTGATGAAAACAATTTTATCATAAAAAGGTTTATGTTACTATTAAGAGGAAAGAACAAAGTATTTAAGTAATTAAAAAAAAATGTTTCTATCCTTTTTTTGAACATTCTAACTTTTGATTAAAAAAAAAACAAAAAAAAACCTTGTTTCTCTTTGTGTCCAGAGGTACTACTAAATAACATAGGAAATTTTAGCACTTTTTCCCCCTTTAATAAGAGACATTAATTTGGAAAATCTTGCAAAAATAAAAATAATTATTGGATTTTAATGAAACTTTCAGAAACTATTCACAAATGATGGAAATTGTTGGTTTTTTTTTTTTAAACTTATGGTGAAAAACATTTATTTTATATATTTCTAGAGTTTTCATAAAATTAGTTGAGGTGGGGGAGCAACTAACGTTGTGAAAACTGTAGAAATTCAATTCATTCAGTGATTATATTAGTTTAAAGCACAAGGCTTTGAAGAAAGTAAATCATGTTTTGTTTTTAAAAAAAAAAAAGAAAAAAATAAATAAATTGGTCCTCATCTGCCTAAAATCAGTTCTGGATTGTAACATACAAAACCTAATAAAAGAAAGATATTTAATTTTAAATGCTTTTAGTTTTTATGAATAAAAAAAAATTCAGAGAATAAATCACTAAGTTCAGACTTGAACATCGGGAACAGAAAGAAAATGCCGAAAACTCGATTCGCAAGTACCATTTCAAAAATCACAATGCATGCAACCAGTCAGAAAAATAACTCATTCTCCAACAAACGTGGTAGCCAAAATACCCGAATTTTGATCCGCCGATTCAAGAACACCAACTGCTTTTATCAGCCGAGCATTTTTTCCATTCGTCGACAGCTGGGAGAGGATATTCAGTAATTTGCATATCAAAATACTTTTATAGCAACTCCTGCAACGGACTTGTTTTTAAATTCAAATATTCCATCTTCAGCATGTCATGCAGAATATGTGCCCTTTTGTTTGGTAAGTAATTTTCTTTTTTGCCACATTTTCCGTTGTAGAATACACGTGACGCGCCGTCACTTGGTTTGACGAGGTAAGTCGCCATTTTCTTCACTACACTTTTTAGTCAATGGTGTTATTAAGTAGATTTATCTTCACAGATTATAAATTGTAAAGCTTATTGCAGTCTGCAACACACAAGTATGTAAAAATCAATTTTATGTGGTCTTTTATTTATTTATAGAAAACAGTTTTAATTCAAATGTAAAGACATGTAGAGAAGTTCAGTTGATTTTTCGTTTCTACTTAAAACAAAAAATTTGAACTATATAGCCTATGAAGAAAATAGGAAAAACACAGCAACAATGAGCTAATGTTAAAGTTTATTAACTATTAATGAATAAAGAATATTTTAATTATAAAAAAAATTTCCCGATCAATGTGTTAATTTTCTTGCTTACTTGTCTTTATTTTAATTTCATCTGTTATTAAATTTTAAAATTAATAAGAAAATTTTATAGTATTTTAAATTTTATTTTTTCATAAAGCATCTCCGAACATAACTAAATGTTAATAAAATATTAGACAATTGCTAAAAATGTTAATTTGTAAAAATTAGTAGGTAGTTAAAAAAAAAAAAAAAAAAAAAAAAAACCCGTGTTCACTTAGATTTCGTAAATTTAAGTCAATTCTAGTCATTCATACTGTCATCACCTCAGAACTTATCAATAGGTCCATAAAGATGAAAGAAAAACAGGACCCATTATTAAGAAATGCTTGTATATTACTTTTTTATGCTGTAAGTATTGTGTATTTCAAATCGGATTAATTTAACTTTAAATTTGCTAATTTTACTCAAATAATGAGTCACAAATATATATTTTAATTTTTAAGATTATTTTCGTTTGTCTACAAATTTCTTAAAATTAAGAAAATGGCCATGCTTAAGAAAATTTTCTGAAATTTGCCAAAAAGTTGAGATTCTGATCTATATAATTTCTACTTGAAATACACCAGAATATTTTACTTACTGGAAATAGTAAATTTAATCATTTAGCTTTCAATTAAAGCTAAAATGAAATCTCCAAGAATGCTTTTTCATTTTAAAAAATTCATTTCAAACCTTAGGTACCAAAAATTTATACTGAATTAGTGAGGGTCCCTATACTAATAAAAAGATCATCTGCAAAGAAAAGAAGAAACGGTTTATCATAGATATTTTATCAAAAACAGTTCAATGTCTTTTGAAACGGACACAAAAATCTGCAGTTTCACTAGGAATAAAATATCATTCATATTTGACAGCACAGCAAAGGAATTGGCCTGGGAACATTTTTGTTTTTTAATTAAGTTCACAAATTTGATGACATCTGGCCAAATGTCTAAGGGTCATTCACATATTTATACATTTGCATTTTTCAGAGACATAATTGTTATCCTACACTATGACATATCAAAAGGCACATTTTCTATTCCATCACCCTTCCAGTTTTCTTTGAATCAAATTTGATTCTCAAACTTGTTACTTTTGGCAACAATTTAGACAAACGTAGTTTACACATAGATACACTTTGACACGGGATGCAAGGATGGATGGATGTTGGATTTAACGGCATGTCAACTCCTACTTGGGATGCAAGGTATCTACTTTTTCAGCATTAACTCACTCATCCACTTTTTTACATTTGAAGAACTAACTTTTGAAATTGACATGTGAATAAAATTTCTTCAATTGTTGAAATTTTAAAAAGACACTAATAAATTTTTCAAGATCCTACTAAAATATATTTTATTACTGTAATGTTTACTTGTCTCTGATGTCTTTTGTCTTTGCTTTTTTCCTTATTGAATGAAGGTAGCAGCTAAGAAGACACCTTCATATTCTTTCTTCCTTTCTCATCATCTAGACGAGAAAATACAGAAGTAACTATGAGGCCATGAACTCGTACTAATCAAGGAAACAAACCATTCATTTGCAATAATAGCCAAATATTGCTGACAACTAAAAAAAAAAAAAATTCTTAAAGGACAATTTAAGCTTGTGAAAAAGCCAGGTTTCTAGAATTTGGCATTTTGACTTCCATGAACTGAGAAAAAAAGGGATGTATAGAAAAATTTAGAAAATTCCAGGACTTTTAAAGGAGCTTTTAGGCTATTGCTGTTTTTCTAGAGCTTTTCAAGCCCTGGAAAAGGTGCTGTCAATTTTACAGGACTTTTCAAGATTTCCAAGAGCTGGACAAACCTTGGATACCAGTTACATGCCCCATCTGATATCTCGAAGTACATTTTTTTCTTTTTTCTTTAGTTTTTTTTTTTTTTACCCACAATCTCCCACTCTGTACAGTATGTGTTCTTTCCAGTGTTTTGACAGATTCCTTTTACTCTGACTGGATAGTGATGGATCACATTAGCAGGCATAATAGCAAAGGAAGAGTTGTCTTTTGTTGTGACCTTATACTACTAGACTGTCTCCATGATCAAGCATTGTTTTCTGGCAGCATCTGTTAATGCTGTGATGACATCTCAATTATACCATAACCTGCAGGGATGTATGCACCTCGGAAGTAGAGCTGGACACCCATCTTTGCTAAGAAGTCTTTGATCAGCTGGCTACAGAACACAGTATCATTATTTGTGAGAAATTCTTCTGGTGGGCCTTGGTTGTAAAAGTGTGCCTCTAATTAATGAATGCCACCAATTGAATTCTGTTGGTGCAGGGGTCACTAAATTGCAAATAGGCTAAGAACACAATCAGTGTAAGGTAGTGTCTTAAATAGAATAGTCAACTTTTTAGCCCAAACAAGAACTGATAATTTAATACACTATTTACATTATTTGGACTATTGTCCTCATCTTTGTTGCCATGTTTATCACGTTTCGGCCGTTGTACACTCCGGCCTTCTTCAGGTGGTTGGAATGTCAAACTGAACCCTTTATTTCATTCACTGGGGTAGAATGTTCTAGTTCCACATGCCCTGTCTAATGGGTGTTAGTTATCTCCTATTAATTCTAGTTCCACGTGCCATAAACATGGTGACAAAGATGAGGACAATAGTTCAAATAATGTAAATAGTGTACATAATACCTCATCTCAGAAATATAGACAGATATTGATAATTTAATGTATTTAAATTAAACCCTTGCATTAAATATAATACTATGAAGAAATAGCTATTGGATTTTCCAGTTATATAGAATAAGTACACAAAAGAGAAGGTGGATTAAAGAGATTATGGCACAACATATAATGTTGGTAGAATTTATGTGGAGAGTGGTACAAAGTATTGTCAATAAAGACCTGACACTTAATGTATTGAACAAGTTAAAACTTTTTTTTTTTTTTTTTATTATTCACTCTATAGAGCTATAGTGTCAAGGCCAGGCTTTCAATCAAATAACTTTAGCTGTAACATTCTCATAATGATGATTAAACCTTTTATTCCCTACCCAAATCTTTAAAATAAATTGGAAAATATATATATATATATATATATATATGTTCAAATTATAAATCAATTCTTCCAACTCCTTATATTAGATCTTACAAATCAATTTACTTTTTAAAGTTTTTTTTTAATCTCTAAAAAGGTTCGAGATTAGTATATTCTTAAATATTTTGATGTATAGGTGTTTATTTTGGACAGGTATTTGTGTTGTGATTAATATAATCGGCCAGTGAGAAAGAAAGCAACCAAAATTGATTTACAGCCATCAAAATAAAATTATTAATCTTATTCTTTAATGTAATAGATAAAAAAGGCAATTTATTCAATTTCATATTTCCATTTCAGATGTCAAAAGTTGGAAGTAAACTGCATTACAACCATCACATGCAAATACGTCACATGACACTTAATGGGCTTTACCACAATTTATATTAAGAGACCATGGAAAACACTGAAAATAAAACTCACCTTCAATCGTCCCCCACTTAATTCTTCACTGGCTTTCAAACGAGCATCTACAATTCTTTTAACATCTCTTTGAAGACGACGTCCAAAATCACGAAACATGGTTGAGCCTCCAGAAAGTACAATATTCTGACAAAAAAATTATTATCTGTTAATATATTTAGTTACCATAGTAAATTTTTGATGACAAATTGATAGAAAAACACTGAATTGTTTTAGTGATAATAAACAAACACACATTAATTCATCAGTGTTTGTTTATAAATTGTATTCTCTTGCTCTAAATCCAAACACACAGAAACTAAAGTAGTTCAGAATTTCCACTGAGCCATCCTAACTTATCAAATGCATAAGATATTAAGACAAAATTAAATTATGCCATTTTCGATTTTATAGCTTTAGTTAATTCTGCTTTAAATGCTGTTGTCTCAAAACTGGAAATAAGCTGTAGGAATACTTACTCTATAGAGACCACGTCTGACATCAATAGGGCAATTTTGAATAACATTATCTACTATTTCAGAGATGGGTATTGTGAAGTCAGGGTTAGAAAACTGAAAAAAAATAAAAAAAATAAAAAATAAATAAGATGAAATAATTAAAAAATAACACTGAAATACCACTTATTATAGATTAATTTGCAGCCATAATATAAAACGAATTTATAAATAATAAAAAGATCATTTGATGTAATTTAGAAATGGTTGAAAGTAACTCGTAAAAAGGAAAGTAAACAGAAATAAACATCTACAATTTTAAAAAATAAATTTTTCATTATCCATAATAAAAAATACAAATTAAATTTGAATTATCAAATTGTAATGTGGGAAAAGGTTATAAGGTCAATGTTATTAATCTATTCAGAAATATTTCAAGCAGACACAATGAAATACAGGATGTGATGAGTAAATTGTCACTATTTTATGTTTTTAATTTCACACATGTGCATTGTGTTTTTGATTTTGTTTACTGCACAGTATGTCAGTTGGGCACTGTGAGAAAAACAGTACTATGATGCAATTCACTCCGCCAGAAATTTGGAAATGGCATGCTGTACTGCTTGACATTCACACCAGAAGCTCCTATACAAACATTTCAGAGTGTTCGCATGTTAATCAGAGGACAGTGCAGAGGACTTGGAAAGAGCTGGATGAATCTTATGGTGATTCAAGAGGTACGGCAGCTTGGAAAACTCATTCTGATTGTTCTGATGAGAAAAGAATCGCAAATTTGTTGGTGAGATCCAAGCCATGATTGTCAATGAGTCCTCCAAGTCAATCAAGACAGGAAGGTAGTGCTGCCCTGGGTGAAGAGGGTAGCAGCTAGAAGACCCTATGTCTGGCAACAGGACTCTGCACGATGCCACACAAGCAGGAGAACCCAGTCATGTCTGGGAGACAATTTCTGTGATCACATCAACCCTTACATCTGGCCACTTAACTCCCCAGACAACAACACCTTGATTACTATGTATGGAGCACAGTTGAGTGAGAGATCAACAAAACTCCTTTGACAAAGATGAATTGAAGGCAAGGATTATGGCAGCATTCACCAACTTAAATAAGGGGACTGTCCAGAAAAGCTGCAGAAGATTCCGAGTCATCTGGAGGCTGTGAATGAAGCCAGTGGTGATTTTTTGAATAAATTTACTTTTTAGTATTTCAAGATATTTTTGTGTAATCTTGGTAAATATATCTTAAGATGAGATTTCAGTGTTATTTTCATTTTTGTGTAATTTAGATAGCAATTTATCCATCACAAACTGTAGATATTAAAAATATACAGGTGTTAATCTAGAGGATTTAATTAAATCAAGTCATGTTTTAGTAAAGAATTAAAATTTATCAGAATGTTTATATTAAAGCAACAATTGCTTCAATGATGAACAGACAAGAAAAGCAACTTTGCATTTGAAGAATGATAATTTTAATAATTTCACAGGAAATCTCATGTTTTATACTTTCCCAGTCTGGATTTAAACAAACTTACAAACTATAGGGCTCAGAAAATTTCATATGAATAATCAGAAAAATGATTTAAAATAATTCTGATAAATTTTCAGCAAAGTTAATAGTTACTGTTCAAGAAAAAATTTCTTTTGGGACATCCTTACCAAAGTTTTATAATATTTATTATTAAGTGATTGATTCTGAAAACATGATTATAAAGTGTTATTTTATGTGTAGTATAATGGACTACCATAAAATACAATAAGTAACTGTAATAATATATCCATATTCTCTTTGAAGATTTTTTTTTTTTTTTTTTTTTTTATTTACTATTTGTAAATGTTTATCTTGAAAATTCAGCATTTATTTTATGCTGCAATGCAAAGTTATTAATGTCAGCACAACCTGCCAATAAATATTTTAAAGAGGTTATACAAAATGTGCTAATGTTTAAATTTAACTTTCAAACACAATCTTAAAATATATACACGTTGGTTTGTGGCTAAGCACAGAAAATTAAACAAAATGTTTACGAACCTCAGGATGGAAGAAGATCTCTGGCCCCAAAAAGCGTTCATATCCGACATCAACACTAAAGGCATTCTTGGTGATACTGTTGATTCCATCATATCTCTTCAGCCATTTGCCAGGATCCTGATCATACTTACTAAACTCCTTTGCAATGTCTGGGCATACATATGAGAAGCGTTCCTGTAGCAATTAAAACCACATTGTTATCCTTCAACTAATTTTTCTTTTTAATAATATCCAGTATCCTGAATTAAAAACAAGCAGGCTTATGTTGCAAGTATTGCATATAATTAAGACTAAGTGCTAACTCCAAAAGGATTTTTACTTTAACTGTGGACCTGACTAAAGTTAATCAGTTTGGTTTAGGAAAATTATTTTATAACCAAGTCACTTTTCACTGCACCTAGTTTACTTTTGTATCTATTAATAGGAAAAAAGAAACTTTAAAACACCAATCATTCATTAGTTCTTTGAACAATGTATAATCACATCTAGATCAGTTTATTAATCACTAGACTCAAGTCTTTGTAAACAATCTACTGCATTTCTTTTCATCCTTGGTTTCACTTACAACTTGAACATTAACATCATCTAAACAAACTTTTCATAAACTTGTTCACTTGTCAGGAACAATGTAAAACCAGAAGCATTTAACCTTATATTTTTAATTATTTCTGACACTTCAACAGCTATGCAATAAAAGTGATCAATAAAGATTTCATTTTTAATATTTCAATACAAGGAGCACTGCAGACCAAATTATTGAAAGTGACTAAACAAATTGAGAAGGAAACTGTGTTCATTGTTCAACCTCTTGTCTTCTCTATTTTACATCCAAATAAAGCAAGGGCTGCTATCAACAATAGAATTGCAATTTGTATGTTTTTATTATTACTACAGATTATGACTAATTAAATATTTTTTTTATTTATTACATTATTATTAAAAATTATTTCTTCAGCGTTTAATGTGCCAAAGACAAGGAAAGTATGATGAATAAATAAATCTGTTCTTTCATTTAAGTGGGACAAATTATTTGTATTTTTTTATATAAAGGAGGTGACGAAATATGTAGTTGGGAGCATAAAAGTAACATGGATGCAGACATACTAAGACATTTACTAAAAAAGAAAATAGTTGAACTGAAAGGAGCTGAGTAGTTAGAAAATGATTTATGATCTGATAAATGGAATGTTTTTTTGTTTGTAGAAATGTGCAACTTGTGTGTTGGAATTCATGCTTTTCTCAATGACATTAACAAAATTTAAATAATTCCAATACTGTATGATTACCTTAATAGCTTTGGCTGTTTCTAAAGATTGTTCAGGTGGGATGCCAGCCTCACGCTCTCTCAGCAGCTGCTGAATGAAGTAAGTGATATCTCGCCCTGCAATAGGGATGTGTTTGATACAACTACCAATCACATAACCCTCAGCCTGTGTATAGAGTAAATTAAAAGACACAAATGAGATTTTGAAAACGTTAGTTATTTAAAACAATTTGGTTTCTTAAATTCAATTCATATGAAAAAGAAAATCTGGAGAGATTTGAAATTTTAGAGTCACTAATCTTTGTTCTTTTTGGAACAGCAAGTGTCAAGTAAATCAATAAAATGTTTTATTATTTTTGCACTTACCACAGGGATGACATGGGTAACACCATCACCAGAGTCAATAACAGCACCAGTAAGTGTACGATCGCCAACTTGGCGAGATGTCCAAGAAGCAGCCAAGGCAAGAACAGCCTTTAAGAAAAAATTTTTTTTTAAAAAGTTATTTTTCTAACAAAAAAATTGGCAAATTAAGCAAACAGAAAAATGAATTGCAAATATTAATCACTTATTTATCAAATGTTAAAAGTTCAAGCCTATGACTTTCATAGCACATCAACTTCTATGTCACTGGCAAACAAGTTCTTAAATAGAATTTCATAGTGGTTTCAATTGTATATTCAAGATGATTCCTTTCCAAATATCAAGCTTATTGAATTTTTATACAAGTGACACAAGAAAAAATATTTTACAACTTGTATTTATTAAGTATAATTTAAGTATATTTAGATTAGAGAGAGGATTTTTTACTATATCAGCATAGGAGTCATTCAACACCAAACATCTATTTTCTTCATATATAAGATATATTAAATGTTATCTTAAATGTTATAACCAACCTCTCATTAGAATGAATGAATGAATGATCTGTGGTGCAATTTTAGCAAACAGCCTTTGCTCTCTTAATATATAACTAAGTCAAATTTCATTTTATCTGCCAGGTGACTTGAGTGTAAAATGGCAAGTTGTAATAAAAAGCAAGAGAAATAAAATGAAAGAAAGCTTAATTAAAGCCTCAAATCTAATACAAATGAAATGTTGCCACAATAAAGATATTGGTCTTAATATATAACATTAACACCTTGACACAGAAATTCATATAAAACTAATATTAAACTAGTTCCTTTAAAAACTCTTGGCATTCAAATCACATTTTTAAAAAAATAAAAAAATTGACAATATATAAACTGAAAATACAAATTGGTTCCTTAGTCTTCCATTAATGTTTATTACATGTTGGTTGTGGCTCTTTCATTTTGCAACCCAAAAATGCATCAGTTGTAGTAATAAAAACCAACAAAGATAAAAACTTCTCAACTACTTCTTCAACTACTTGAGGTGCTTCACATAAACTTGATCAAATATCACTTTTCTTGAGCCTCCAAAGAGAATAATTGAAATAAATATGTGTTCTATTCTATAATTACTATGAGTGAAAAATTATTGTTTGGTGGATGGAAGGAAAAAAAAAAAAAAAAAAGTATATTTCTGGGAGTATAGTGAAATCAGTAATCAGAAGTTACCTGTACTGCTATATAAAGTCCTGGAACATTGAAAGACTCAAACATGATCTCAGCTGTGTATTCTCTATTTTCTGGTGTGTTCAATGGCGGTTCAGTCTGTAAAAAGTCACAATAATCAGTGAAGACAAAAAACATACAAAGTATAGGCATTAAAAAAAAAAAAAAAAAAAAAAAACATGTCTGAGTTGTAGGTTAAGAATATAGTAATCATTAATATATTTCATCAAGTGTTTATTTGTCTGAGTTAAAATTAAATTGTTCCACTAACAATTTTTGTATCAGTTTCTAATATAGAGATCAAAATAATTATTTGAATTAAATAACTTATACACTATGGACTTGTGAAGAAGAAAAAAAAAAAAAAAAAGCACATAAATTGTTTTATAATCTTAATAAAATTCACAATCTTATCCATTTGTTACAGAGGAATGCAAAAAATTAAATTAAGCTATTTCAGTAATATTTTTTCTTTTTTAAATAAAAAGTAAAAACAGTTCAATAAAGTCAACTTATTAAACAAAAACATTTATAAATGGATCAACTCAAATAGTGAATAAATTTTTTTATATGCAAGTATTAAACCAAAATAAGAATTTTTGAGAAGGGACTCCATTCAAACTAGCTTCAAGAATCTTTTACTTTCTTAAATTCACCTCACTGCATGTATGGCTAAATTAAAAAAGAAGAGCTGGAAAAAGTATTGAGTTTTGTTTTCCTTACCAACAAGAAATAATGATCTTCAGGTTCTGCACGAAGGTACTTGAATATAGTTTGTTCCCAGAACCTTTCCATCAAATCCCAATCATCTACAATACCATGTCGTATTGGCCACTGCAACAATAAATGATGCAAATGAATATTCAAATATTAGTATAACATTTTCATGTTAATCAAATATTGATTACTTGCAAGCATATATTTAAAATAATGTTGATTACACAAAAATAATAAATTAAAATTTTTGCAGAATTCATACGTTTCTCAAATCCATTTTAATCTGGCAATTGAAGTCAAATCAGAACAGAATATAAAAGTAAAACTGCTATCTGCTTATTTTGTGTGTGTGTGAATCCAAGTGAATGTATTGTTTATGAGGTTTTATTACTTAAAACTCAAATAACTTTTATTCCAAATCACTTTGTGGCTAAAATATAAAAATCTTTGTGCAGCAACAATCTATTTGAAGAATTATCAAAGCTGAATATTCATTTTTAGAATAAGATTTTATATTTTTATGGATCATCAAAAACTCTGGAAGTAAAAAACAGCAAGATTTGGATTACAAACTCATGACAGACATTATATCTGATTTTGTTTATACTGTAGCTTTTCAGATGTATTTTTATAAAGATTATAATTCAGCAATGTTAAAATAAGGAAATTAATTGTAATACTGAATTTTCTTTTTCACTGATCACATCAAAACAGGTTTCTCTTAGAAGTATATTTTAAAACACCACAAAACATTCAGATAGCAGTGTTTAGGCCATAATGAAATATTAAACATAACTCTAATATGAAACATGTTAAACTGAAAACTTGTGATTTCAACATCAAAGCAATTCATTTTGAGAAAATTTTCATTGGACACAAAATAGAAAAGTGACAAATATTGCATTTTCATACTTTTATGTTATTGGATATATAAAAAAAAATAAATTAAAAAAAAAAAAAAAAAAAACTTTTTTTTTTAGAATCACTTCAGCTGTTGTGATATATTTTTTAATTCTTTCCACACCAGAAATCTAAAATTCTTAATATCAGAAAATATTTTTCTGCTCTTAACACATTTTGAATATTTTGTCATGATTTATTCTTACATCTTTAAGACTATTAGAGCCAAAGATAAATTTATCCTTTCCCTTTTGAACAGAGCAAAATCTATCTTAATGCATGCAACACAGTTCTGATTATATCATAAATTTAAATTATACTGCACATTTTACTTGGAATTATGTCATATATGAAATAAAAAAAAAATAAAAAAATAAATAAATAAATAAAATAAAATAAAAAAATAACTACCTTGACAGAATAAGAAGAGGCATCCAGTGCCTCATCTCCAATATAGAAATCTAAATCTTCCACACCTTTTCCCAGTCTCCGAATAGCTTGATCACCAACTTTAGCACTTTCTTTGATGGCAATACAAGATGGAATAATAAACTGTGGCTCTGTATTGCCAGCATATCCCATCTTAGTGTAACTGAAAAAGAGAAATACATATAAAAAGCCATTACCAACAGATTCTGAGACTTAAGTTAGCATTAAACCAAAAATATATCAAGTATTGAAAGAAAAGTTATCAGAAAGAATGAACATGATGAATAAAGACAAATGGGAAACTTTCCTTTATTAATGTGTTTTGTCCTCCGATTGTAATTTTTTTTTTTTTTTTACAGCAACAACAATGATTTTTGTATACAACTCATATGTTACTTCCAGAAAAAAAAAAGAAAAATAAAAGAAAGGAAAACATCAAAAGTAGAGCACAAATTTTTAAACACTTCACCCCTCTCAACCAAACAAACCAATATCTTTCAAGAGTTTTCAAAAGAGCTGATTTACTGATACAAGTTGAAAAACTTTGTTATATCAAATTTTAGATGGTTCAATGTATATCTTCTAAAACATTGTTTCTAAAATAATGACTGCTGGAGGCATTTTATATTGAAAATTCTGTTTACTGTAAAAATAAGACCTGTTATATATCACCCATCAAATTTATGGAAGTTTCACTCTGTAAAGCTAGTTTTGGAATAATTTAATTCCTGTGAGTTAAAATGAAATTTTTCAGGTTTAAAGGGCAATTTTTATCTTTTAAGCTACAATGGTTATGTTCGATTATATATGCCACTGAAGAAAACTGTATACAAACATTAATTTGATTTTCATAAACTTTGCACAATTTACATTTTTTTTAAATATATTAATTTCTTATATTAGAAATAAAAAATTCTTGTAAGAGGACAAAGTAAAAATAAAAGTAAAATACTGCTTTGCAAATACTTTGGTTTTATTTGAAATTATATACATTAATTTTTTTAATCCGACTTTTATTACTTCAAATGTTATTTTTAGTGGATATCCATATTGGAGTAGACACCGGTTTTTAAGGTGTTTATTTCATCTAATGGTTTGTGCACTTGAGAAAATGTGCCCTCCTGCATCGTTTCCATAGCCAACTGGTCAAAGCATGCTGGATCATATGGCAGTTTCTTCTGCAAAAGGAGACACAGATTCTAATCCTGCCAGAGGGCAGTTTTTGAGGGCACAGACTAGTAGGCAAAATAAACATGGTTTGTAAAAAAATCTACCCAAACATATATCCATTAAAATTAACATTTGAAGTAATATATTAAAATCTAAAATGAGTATATGCTAAAATGTATTGTCTTTTAAAAGAATATTTATTTGAATATTCAAGTACAAATAATACCTGACCGATTCTTGAAGTGTTCCACACTATGAAAATAAACCCACGCTATGAAAATAAAATTGCTTTTCATATTTTAATTGAAAATATTTCATTGTTGATAAATCATTGAGAGAATCTTATTTGCTAACATTAAGATTTTTTAATTACAATATTTTAAACTTTTGATAAACCAAAAATCCAGCCCAATTGATAATATATATGATAAAAATATACAGTGACTTAAAAACAGCTCAATTCTTGTAGTATTATTTAAATATCTTAATTAAATTGTTAATTTTTAACTTTTGTTCTTCTATCTGAACTTTAGTTACAGCTTTTGTTTTTCATGATTTGAGGCGTGATAAAAAGCAACTGAAAATCAAAATGAATAATTTGCCCAATTTTGGTTTGAAACATCATTACAATTTTTTGTAAAGCATTCTAGGGAAAAAAAAAAAAAAAAAAAAGTCACGTCATTTGTCAGTATACATTTTAAGCATACCTACAAAATCAGGTCTTAGTACCAAAATAGCAAACATTGTGATAACTTAAGATTTAAAAACTATTTTTGTTACAGAAATGATCCCAAATATTAAGAGAAATTATTTGAGATATGAAAGCAAATTGAAGAAAATTACAGGAGGGAGAATCGCAGATAATTTTAGATAAAGACAAAATTATATAATTTTGGTGGTATGTTAATTATCCGAAATATTTGGTGATTTCAATGAACTAGATAAGCCTAGATTTAACATGTCATATGTATAATGAAGACTGAGATTTGTATATTCTTAATCGACATCTTTAATACAAAAGGTGACTTTATTTTTATTTTTAATACTAAAACTGCAATTGTTATTCAGTTGGTAGATAATATCCCTGTGCCTAGGTTTATTATCAAGGTTATTTCTGTTAATTTCTTTGTGGATTTTGTCCATTTTAGGAGTTTTCTTCTTTTCATTATATATGAAATAATTAGCATTTATTGGTTTAAGTATTTTCAATGTATTTTTCTTCATATAAATACTGAGAGCTACAAATTGTAAGTGCTCTTAAATATTAATAAAGCATTATCAATATATCAAGAAACATGTTGATTCTTTAGTTAAAATATTTTGGAAAGGATCAGTTTCTAGAAATTCCGGACTTACGTTCAGTAATTTACAAAACATATTACAAAAACATGCCACATGAAATACATTGGGTGAAATATCAAAGAATTTAGATAAAAAATTATATGAAGACAAAAGAGATCTTTTACAAAAAATTACACTCAGTGTGTTAATCCTTCATCATAATAGGTCAGGACATAATTTTGATTTATAGAATGTGAGTTTGATAAATTTATTACAGTGAAAATGTATTGAAAGTGCACTAATTTCAGAATTTTCTATAGAAAAATTTATGGCCAGTATTATGTATTTCCTCATGAAATTCAATATGGTATAATTAATTACAATAACTACAAAAATGAAAGAACGGGAGGTGCAAAGTTAAATTTAAAGGCTGAGTGCCTCTGTATCTTTAACATTTTGATGTCAACTGTACTGGTATTTATTGTACTTTCTTCCCCGCCTTTTTGATATACACAAGACTGATTCAATTCATTGAACCTGAAGATATTCATTCTCAGAACAAAATGTGTCATTAATAAGTTTTCCCATCTTGTCATCATTCATTTACCCACCATTTTATATATATATATATATATATATATATATATATATATATATTTTATTTGAAAAATTCACATATAGAACATGAACCAAAAAACACTTATAAATAATCCAAACATATATGTTAAACTGAATATATATTGAAATTGTTCACTGTATTCAGCATTGGACAATAATGTATATTTTTAAATGATGGATAATCATGGTTACTGATGAGAATGGTAAACTTTAGTGGGTGTTTTAGTTCTGTGTAGGAATACAATTAGACAAATGTAAGAAGTAGGTTAGTAGGTGACTAACTGGCTGGCTTAGCTTAACTCATCTCCAAGTGAGTAAATGGCCCATCCCAGGATAAGTGAAAAAAATCAACTGAACAAGGCCCACACACAAAATGTAGCATTGTGTGTGCATATGAGAGAACTAGGGAGGGAGGGAGAGATCAAAACTTAAACAGGAAGTTGTATTTTCTGTTAGAGCTAAGTAATAAAATCCTCTAACTTTGCCCAGATAGTTTTTTAGCTCATAGATAATGGTGGTATCTGAAACTAGCTTTAAATTAGATAAGAAAATCATTTCTTTAATTTAATATTTGAGTTATGTTTTATGAACTACAATGGTGAAATTAAATTTTCCATCTGCATTAAGAATAGAGGACCAAATTTAAAGATTTTATTTAGAGGTACAAAATTTAATCTACGCTATAAAAACAGACAAAAAAGAGGAAATTAGAAAATAAAAAATAAAACTACAATCACAGTAAAGGGGGATATTTTGAATCAATGATTACATGAGTAAGTTTATGACAATACTTAATGATGAGCAGAAGTTTGTCAAATTGGAGTCCAACTGAGACAGTTGATAAAACTAAAATTGGGCTTAAATCTTCAAAAATGTTCGCTCAAATTAGTAAAAGAAAAAAAAAGTACTCCAGGTTGATATCTATGAAGTTAGGATGGGAGGCTCTTTGAGGCCCTAGTTATATGGGTTACCAAAGACCCATAAAGACAATGTCCTGATGCATCCCACTTTATTTATGATTGGCCCTGTACAACATAATTTGACAAAATGGTTGGCCGTGTTAAATATATATATATATATATACAGAAAATTGTATTAAAGATTCATTTGCATTTGCCAATTACATGCAAGATTGTTCATTTAATTCTGATGACAAATTTATATGTTCATTTGACATTAGCAATACTTGTGTTTTGCTTCAGTAAACAAAAGACATTTGTTCTGATGCTCTGTATTGCAATAATCTTTCTCCTCTTCCTCCTCACCTCAAACTGTTTTTAATGATTAGGCTTGCCACTATGGAGTTCAGCTTCGATAATGTGATGCATAGATAAATTGATGAGAGGTCAATAGCTAGCCCCTTTAAGGTCCTGTGATGGCAAATATCTTCATGGGGTTTTTACAAGCAAAGGTTTACTTATTAAGACCATAATCCATTGTGCCTTAATTATTTGTTCTAAAAACAGGAATTAGACTTTAAGAAAATCTTTAACGACAATAGCTATCATTTGGATGTAGTAAAATTTAGCATTCATGCTATAATTCCAGTTTCATAAACCAAAAGTTTTTGGTCCCCAATGTCCTGTATATTTAAGATTGTCATGAATTGGAGAGGTTGGTGCAAGATTTTCTAAACAAATCTCTACCAGTGTTAGAAAATCTTATTTTGCAGTCAACATATTTTCAGTGTTTTAATAGATCACATTCCAACAATTACTTGAAAGTTCTTGAGACAATTTATATTAAATCGAGTCATTGTTGTGTAAACAAAAGTTGTTGTGTCTCAATGGAGGCAATACCTAATATACCTTATAGGTATTTCCTTGGTCTTAGTGTGATCAGTTTATAAGTAGATATGTGGCAATATATTATTGACACTGGCCTACTTCTTTTCCTCATTACCCCCCACACTTCTTTTTTAGTTGGTGTACAAAACATTTTAATTCCTTGATTGGTCAGTTGATTCTACAAATTGTTCTTTTAAGGTAGTGGTATTTTTTTCTTTTACTTTCCTCTTGTACCCTTATGCATTTTTATAGCATTGATTAGAACCTATTTTAAAATTAACTTTATAAGCTAAAGACAATAGCATTT